AATGTTAATGTTAATATTACACTTTTATTTAAAAAACAACTCATATTTGAGTAGGTATATTGTGAAATATGTAACCAAATTTAAAACAAATAGGCTATAGATAAGCAAGGGTAATTTCGAGATAGATTTTCATAAAATGAAAGCTACGACTTTTTTCCCTTGATATTAGTCCCTTGATTTGGCGGATTGTACGAAGGCCTATAAATTTAGTTCAACTATGAGAGGCACAATATTAATAACAATAAAACTAAAAGTTTCTTTTTATTATAATATAACCAAGACTTGCGTTAAAATTTCATTCACACTGCAACAAATGTAAATTGTCAATTGATTTAACATTGTATTCAGCATGTAGACTAAACAAATGTTTGGCAATGCTTGAGGATTAAGAGATTTCATCTAATGCCAGTGTTGAATAACTATTTGTATTTGTAGAATGCAACACAGCTTTGATGGCTGCTTGAAGAAGGCAAACATTTTGGCCAACTCGAGAGTGTGAAGACAGCAGCGATGCGTATCGGCCTTTCTCCGTTTGGACATAGATTTAGGGAGCATACACACAGATATTTATGTGCGTGTGTGTGTGTGTGCGTGTGTGTGTACTCCACTCGAAGTTCAGCTGAAGTGAGTAGCATTAAGTTTAAGAACAACAAATCGACTGCTGCTAAATTTCACTGTTTATTTCTTGTACTCGAGCTTGAAATTAAAAGACTATAAACAATCGTGAGAATGGCACTTGAACATGTTCAAAACAATAATGGCCTTAAACGAAATGTACAAGAAACAAGGCAACTGGCAACGGGCAACTTGCAACGGGCAACGTGCAACGTGCAACAGCAAGACAAATCAACAAGCCGCAGTCGCTGCTCAAGCGGGCCGCATAGAGCCGCACGGACAGGCGGCTAAATGAACAGACAGTCAATCAACTTTAAGCAAAAAGCACAGCGACAACGTCAGCTGCGACTGCGACGGCGACGTTAGCAGCGACGTCGACAGCATCGATGCGACGGCATCAAAGAGAAATGCGCGCGCGCGCACAGGCAAAGCTACAGTTTTAGCCTTAGCTGCACACGATCATCCCCGTTGTAGATGATTTAAGGAGCGCGGCCGAGAAAACTATTACAAAATGATCAAAACAGCTCAGCAGAAGATGAAGAAGAAGCAGAAGAGGATGATGAAGACAAAATCAAATCAGTGTGCGAACTGGACCTGAACCACGGCGGAGACGGCGATCGTATCGGATTGGATCGGTTCGAGACTCGATTACAATAATTACAATCGGCTACGCGAGATTTACCAAATCACAACAACAACAACAGCAACAACAGCAAGCAGCATATTGCAGCACACAGATACAGATAAAAATACAGATACAGATAAATCAGCTATTACGTGCATATACAATTTTTATAAGAAATTGAAGTCAAGAAGCAGAATTAAAACAAAACTCATCAAGCGACGATGTCGAAGATTCAAGCACACACACACACACACTCACACACACACGCTCACAGACACAGCTAGTAAATACAGCTACAGTGAAAACTCTTTTGAGTGAACACATTAGTTTTCAGCTCAGTTCAATTTTGATTGTTTTTTGAGGGAGCTGCGCGCTTAAAAGGTCAATATAAAAAATGATTAGAAAAATATTTATATATTTTAAAGAATTTTTTTTATGCCTTATAATATTTTATATATATTATTTTTATTATATTATGATATATTCTAATAAATGATAAAAAAATATATATGTATGTATAAATATATTTATACATTTTAGCATACTCCTGTTTTGATCACTAAAAAAATTGCACGTCTCAAGCAGATGTGCGCCACAGGTAGCTTTCCGTGAGCAGAGCTTTCACTGTACACACGCAACGTGACTCAACTACTATGCATGTATGTGTGTGTGTGTGTGTGTGTGTGTATGTGCGTAGTAAAAGAAGAGACAAACGGACATAAAGCGGACGGCGTATCCATCTTCAGCTTCATCAGAGCATCGCTAAGCATCGCACACTGCAGAGCACACACTGTAAGCGGTAAGCTGTGTATCTGCTAGACAGACCCCAAGCATCATTGGCACAGCGAATCGGGCAAAACGAGAAATTGAAAAGACAGTTACAACGTCATAATGAAGCTAAAGGCTATGCTGGCAAAAGTTTACCAAATCGACGGCAAACCGCACAAAGCCCTCAAACACAAACACACTCACACACACACAACCACAAACAATCGTGATGTTGTTGTATATACGGAGCATAGCTTTTTGTGCAAAAGAAAATTTAGCGAGAATAAAGAGAGCGATATCAATTGAAGAGTGTGAGAGAGCGAGCGTTGCGCGCACAGTGAAAGGCGTGCGCTTGACAGCGCGTCAACAGTAGCGCGTGTAGCGCACGCAATGCGCATTGTAATTGCAATGCAGCGCTTTGCAACACTGCCAGCGACAGATGTAACCATTAAATAAAATGTGATCTCGTTTTATGATAATGAAAAACGTACATATGCATGTATGCCCGTGTGTGTGTGTGTGTAAATTGCTGCAGCCCGACAATGCAGTTGTTGCATCTTGATGCAGCATCAGGCATGATGCAACTAATTCACAAGCGCAACATGTGCATATTTCTGTGTGTGTGTGCGTGTTTGTATGTTTTTCAAGCAAAATTTATTGATATTCATTGTTTGTTTGTTGTCGATCGTCGTCATCGTTGTCGTTGTCGACTTTGTCGTTGCTCGCTTGCAACTGAAATCACAATTGTTGGAAAAAGGAAAAAAAAAAGTGCTGATGCTGGCGCTGCTGCTGCTGCTTCTCTGTGCTGGGGCCTTCACTTCTTCTAGTCACACACACAGACATTTCCTGCGGACACCTATACACACTCAAATATGTGTGTGTATGTAACTGAAGTTTACTTGCAACTGGCTTTTGGTCTATAATTCTTGTTTCTGGCTTTCGTGCTGCTGCTGCTGCTGCAAGAAAAAAAAAGAAAGAAAGATAAGGAGCCAGGAGCCAAGCTGCAACAGCGACGCGGCCAGCGGGCCCAGCATCTGCAAACAGGAAACTGCCTGGCGCTGTGGCTCCCAAAGGAAGCGGACCAGTAATATTTACATTTATTGCAAAATTATGCATATACCTTTTTGTTGTTCTTGTTGCATGTATATAAGCCATGCGCCATAGATGCGCACATTTTATGTACATGCATATAAATATAAACATTGCTGGCAATTTTTTTGCTTCTTCGTACACATACATCGATACCTATCGATGCCTGCATGTATTGCAAATGCTTCTTCTTTCTTTGCCCCCCAATATAAATGCGCTTTTGCGTTTTACAGCACTGCTTTTTGGTTTATTTTATGCAAAGCTGCTGCTGGCGTCGTGATTAGTATTTTTTTGCCGCATGTTTAATTAAAATATACAGCTTAATATTGTTTTGTTTTATTAATGCACATGCATAACCTTTTTTTTTTATAGTTTAACTAGAATCATGATAAAGCTATAAATACCATTCAGAAACTTTTGTGCGTTTTGTAATTTGAGTAAAATTTATTAGATCGTGAACTCATTTGTTTGGGCCCATGTATTTTCGTGGTTGGCAGCGGTGTCCCAAAGATTTTCATGGAAAGTTTCTGTGGTTGCTGCTGCCGCTTTCTTGTTTATGAAAATTTCACGCTAGTCGAAAGAATTATTAATTGCGCAGCGGCGGCGGCGAAGGCGACGGCGGCAGAGGCAGAGGCAGCAGCAGCAGCAGCAACCACCGCGGAAAACAACAGCTACCAAGTGGGAATTATGCATCGCTGCGCAGAAGCAGAACGCAGCGCACACACACACACACGCACACCGACACTCTCTCTCACTCTCTGAGCGCGCGCGTCTGTGTGTGTGTGTGTGTGTAAGCGCGTGTAAAAATATGGTAAACATGATAATACGTAATAAAAAATAGTGTAACAGCAAAGGGAAATATAAAATCAGGTACAAATTTTCACCAAAAACCGTTTGCGTCGCTTGGCCGCAGTTGTTGTTGTTGTTGTTTTTTGTTTTTGTTGTTGTAAAAAGCCTGGCTGGCTGACTTTGACGATTTGGTGGTCACACAGTGTGAAGAATGGGCTAGGAAATATTGTATGCCACAGAGAGCTCTGCTTGGTGGGCTGTTACAGATTTACAGATTTACAGATCCGCCGGGCCAGATAACGAACGAAAGTGCCCGGGCCCAAAAAGATCTATGTATGTAGATGAGAAGGCGGCAAAAGAACGAGTAACAAACAAATTAAATGGGCTTTAATGTATTACGTTCTTTTCTTTTTCCCCAGAGAATTACAGAAAGTCAACTGCATTTGTCATACGATATACATACATATGTGTGTATGTATTTTGTGTGTGTGTGTGTGGCTGCATTATGAAGAAAGATCTTAGATATGCATTTTGTTTAAGCTTGACTGTGCCTGTGAATAGCTGTAAAAGTCAGCTACAATTCTTCAAATGCAATTACAGCGCATGAAAATATTGTTAATAGTGTTGAACAAGTTCAAAAGACAAATGCAGCCAAAGCTCTGTTGAGCGGACGCCTACGTTTCCAGTTTGTTGTTCCGTTAATTAGGTGTCGTACAAAAATGACAAAAAATGACATAACAATATAACAAATTTTTTAAAGGTTTTGATGAATATTAATGACATTTTGCTATGAATATTTGAATGAATTCGTTTTAGTTTTTCTCTTAGCCGGAAATGCTTTTCTTTGTTTTTAAAACTATGCAGAGTTTTCTGTTAATAGAGCTTTTACTGTACACGTAAGCAACAAAAGAGTAGTGTTGTAAATTGCCAAGAGACAAATATTTAAATGCTCATTATAAGTTAGTCTAAAATCCAAAAATGGCGATTTTAAGTTCCAGACCGTGGGACAATAATAATATTAATTTATTAATCACGCTTATCAAACTTGTGCACTACTGTGGCTTAGTGTTGGTTAAGGCCATGGCCGATCTGGCAGCTTTATCAGTCGACATTTTACAGCACTGGCTGACAATTACAGGAACTGTCAGCGCGCAAAAAATCAGTATGCGCTTTAACATGGCTAGCAAATTGTTAAATTTTGGCTCAAAGCTGTTCAAAACATCGAAGAATTTCATAAATGCTGCATACGTAAGGCGCAGCACATCGACGAATGCCAGGAAATGGACTGGAGCCAGAAGCCAGAAGGTGTTGACCTTTGGCGCACTGACTGGAGCAGCCGGACTATTGATGTACGCCTTGGATGTCAGTGTGGATGCCTCCAGCGACTGTGTGCATCCGTCCAAGCAGGGCTGGGGCCACAAGGGCCTGCTGTCGGCCGTCGACAAGGAGGGCGTGCGTCGCGGCTATCAGGTGTACAAGGAGGTGTGCGCCTCCTGCCATTCCTTGCAGTATATTGCCTATCGTAATCTGGTGGGCGTCTGCATGACGGAGGCGGAGGCCAAATCGGAGGCGGAAGGCATCACCGTGCATGACGGGCCCGATGAGGACGGCAACTACTTCGATCGTCCCGGCAAGCTCTCCGACTATTTGCCACTACCCTATCCCAATGAGGAGGCCGGTCGTGCGGCAAATAACGGCGCCTATCCGCCGGATCTGAGCTATATTGTGTCTGCACGCAAGGGCGGCGAGGATTATGTATTTTCCCTGCTGACGGGCTACTGTGATCCGCCGGCTGGCTTTTCGCTGCGCGAGGGCCTCTACTTTAATCCGTACTTCAGCGGCGGCGCCATAGCCATGGGTCAGCTGATATCCAATGAATCGGTTACCTATCCGGATGACAAGATATCGCCGTCGGCCAGCCAAATCGCCAAGGATGTGGTGACGTTTCTCGCCTGGACTTCGGAGCCGGAGGGCGATATTCGCAAGCTGCTCATCATCAAGGTGACAATAATCTCCACGTTTCTGATTGCGCTCACCTATTACATCAAGCGCTTGAAGTGGTCGTCTTTGAAGTCGCGCAAGATATTCTTTATGCCGGAGGTGCAGCAGAAAGCCAAGCAGGAGAGCAGTAAAGGTGATGGCTGCCCAAAATAATTGCAGTCCATTTCAACGTAATAATAAACGTTAAAAAATTATCTAAGCTGGCGGGCGAATTTTGAAAAATCGTTACAGGGCTGTGATTAAAATAGACTAAATGTATCGATACTAGTTGTTGCAGTGTTGCAGAGTTGCGGCGAAAATACTTACTATTTAAGAAATACCGACTTTTGGTCTATCGACATTTACTACCTATTCAACTCATTCTTATCAATTCAAGCAATCAGTGAAAGTGATGACAGTCCAGGATTTTTGCACCCAATTGAACTGGTAAACCCGAGTAAAATACCTAAAAGTGATATAAATTGATTACTTATTTGGTAGACGGCAGCCAGTGTTGCAGTGCAGTGAAGTGAGGTTGTGGTGCGTGTAAAAGAACAGAATCATCGACTTAGCCAGTATCGATATTTGTTGGTATTTTTGAAAAATACTAGTTTTGATACAAGTTAATCGATGTTTTGTATCGAGGCACAGTTTATTTTGCGTAACTCTGACAACAGCTGATTTATTCAAATGAAAATATAAAATTGTTGGGATGACATCTTTGGATTTTATGAAAAGCCTGCAATTTGCGGCGCAAAAACACAGCAAACAGCGCAGAAAGGATCCGGACAGCACGCCATACGTTAACCATCTAATAAATGTGGGCACAATACTGGTAGATACGGGCATCCGGGACGAGGCTGTGCTCATGGCGGCCGTGCTGCACGATGTTGTTGAGGACACGGACACAACCTTTGCCGATTTGGAGGGTATGTTTGGCACGGATGTGTCCAGCCTGGTGCGCGAGCTGACCGACGACAAGTCCCTGCCGAAAGAGGAACGCAAGCGCCTGCAAATAGAGAATGCACCCCGTGCAACACGCCGTGCCAAGCTCATCAAGCTGGCCGACAAGCTGGACAATCTGCGAGATCTGCAAATCATCACGCCTCGTGGCTGGACAGAGGTAAGTGCAGGTGAGTATTTCATCAGAAAATTAAGACTAAATTCTATACGAATTACAGGAACGTCGCGAGGAGTATTTTGTTTGGGCCAAAGAGGTGGTGGATAACTTGCGCGGCACGAATGCCAAGCTGGAGGCACAGCTGGACGAGATCTTCGCGGAACGCAATCTTTTGTAAATAATAAGTCAACAAGAGCAAACATTAGGTTTAGTTTTTATTGTTCTCGTAGAATGCCAGCATGAGCTTGGCCAGCTGCTGCGTCTCGGCCAGCGTTATGGCATTGTAGAGGGAGGCGCGTATGCCGCCCACCGAGCGATGACCCTTCAGCTGTATCATGCCCTCGGCCTCGGCCTTGGCCAAAAATTCCTTCTCCAGTTTCTCGCTGCCGCTGGCGCTGCCAATGCGGAAGGGCACATTCATATGGGAGCGCACTTGCGTCTGCACGGGACAATAATAGAAGCCATTCGATTTATCTATAATCTCGTAGATGAGCTGTGACTTGGCCTTGGCGCGCTCGCACATGCCCGCAACGCCGCCATTGCGCTTGATCCACTTGAACACCAGGCCCATGACATAGATGCTATAAGAGACGAGATCTATTAAGGTGCTGCCCAGCTTAATCCTGGTGCATAACTCACCCGAAAGTGGGCGGCGTATTGAGCAGCGAGTTGTTCTTGTCCATCTGCTCAAAGTTCAGTATGGATGGCGTGATTTTCAAGTGCTTGCCTATCAGATCCTCACGGACAATGATCACCGTAACGCCCGCAGGTCCAATGTTCTTCTGTGCGCCAGCGAAAATCACGCCAAACTTGCTGATGTCAATGGGCCGGGAGAGAAAATTGGACGACATGTCGCACACCAATGGCACCTTGGCGTCCACCTGTGGCACGAAATCAAACTCCACGCCCTCCACCGTCTCATTGTCGCAATAGTAGACATACGAGGCATTCGGATCCAGTTTCCAGCTGCTCTGGCGGGGTACGTCCGTGTACGTAGCCAGCTTGGGCAGCACTGCGTTCACTTTGCCGTACTGGGCGGCTTCCTTGGCCGCCTTTGCAGACCACGAGCCGGTGATGACGTAATCCGCAGTGCCCGTGCATCCGATTAGATTCAGAGCAGTCGCCGCAAACTGTCCGGTGCCGCCGCCCTGCATCAGCAGCACCTTGTAGTTCGATGGGACGTTAAGCAGCTCGCGCAGATCGGCAATGGCCGTATCGTGTATTTTGCCGTAGTTGCCGGAACGATGGGACATTTCCATGACCGAAATGCCGCTGCCATTGCAGTCAAGCAGATTCGTTTGCACTTCCTTCAGCACCTAGGTGGAGGAAGGAGCAGAGCACAGGACTCGTTTATAACCTAAAACTAATCTGATTAAATTTTATTTTTACTGACCTCTTCGGGCAACTTGGCTGGGCCGGCGGCAAAGTTGATAACCATATTGTAGATGATCTCTCTTCGATCTGCGAACCTCGTCGGCAAGTCGTAAAATTATAACTGAAAGTGTTGCGATTGGCAGCGATCGAGAACTGCGCTTGCGACTGCGACGGCGACAGCGACTGCGCCGCCGACTGCTGATAAATGAAATGAGCACAAGAGAGAGAATATCAACAACAATTATATATGTGTGTACAGTATAGCAAAGCGTGTGCGGCAAAACATACTGGCCAGCCAGAGGCGTCGTCCGCTCTTTCTATGGCAGGCCGAAGCTTGCACGCAGAGCTTCGACTACGCCGCTGGCGCAGCAGCTGCGGCGAAGCCCAGACAGTCGCTCCGATCAAAACAAGTTGGCAAACCGCAGCCATTCGCCGACTGCGGCGACTGTGTCTGCGACTGCAGCGTGCGAAAACAACACGCGATTTACACCGCGCTGCCGCCCCAATTCGCCCTAATTCGCCGCATTGGCTTGTTGTTGCCATGCACTTCGCTGGAAAGGCGTAAACAAGTGCAAGCAATAAACAAGCAAATACAGTTAGGCCTGACTAAGGTGCGTTATTGCAAACGGGCACATTTTGTTCAGAGGTCAGAAGACTTTTAATCGAACAATTATAAAAAAAGCTGTATAAAAACATTTTCTATCAATGTTTTGTTGAAATTTGAGAACTCTAGCTTCCACTTAATAAATTTGTTCCGAACTTAAAATTGCAATTTAAAAGCAATTCGTAAGCATTGCAGCCGGGTCAATATAGTCAACATAGTCAAGCTAGACTGTTCCTCTGTTTGTCTACCGTCAGCTCGGATCTGTACTTAGCTGGTAGCCAACCACTTGACTAGGCTTCCGCTGATGTAATTGAATCCATCTCTATATATATGTATGTCTACGGAATGCATATTTAATATGAAAGCGCGTAGGTAAATGAATATTCTAAACCGCTTTAGCCGAGGCTCCCTGTACACACACAACAGACAGATTGGCTGGTTAATTGCCGGGGCCATACATAACATTTAGTATGTAGCATATATTATTGACAAGTATTTCTAAGTTCTTATCTTATTGATTCAATGCTATCGCTGCAGGAAATAGGAACTTTCTCAGGTTTGAAGTGGCTTTGACATTTTATTTATGCCAAGCAGGGCGCACTGCTCTAATTACTTTATCATCCTCATTGCTTTAGAACGTATAAGAGGTGCTTCAATTTTCCAATTTAGTTCCAACGGGCCGTTTGGCAAAGCGAATTTCCAATAAGATGCAGGCAACGTGCCTGGAAATTTAAACGTGTGCCTAATCGTGCGGTGTCAAAGTGTTTCTCAGTGTGTGTGTGTGCGAGAGAGAGAGAGCCCGTGAGACGTGTGCCTGTATTGTTAATATGTGTGTGTGTATGTGTGCGAGTGGGCCGTGCTCAATGTGTGTGAGTGAGTGGTCATTCATAAACGTTAAGCCAATAATTTACTGTTGTTTGGCAAGGGGCTTGGCCCGTTTTGGTCTTTAATGAGCTTTTGCACTAAAAAAAGAAAAACAACAATTTTTTTTTTGTTTTTTGTCTACTAAATTAAGTGTTTATGATTTATTGCAACATTTAATGCACAATTCGGAAATTGTACTGGTTTGCAGCCTATTGGGGCTGCGCTTGCACCTTGCCCACAATATCGCTCCAGAAGTTTCCGTAATCCTTAAGCACAGTGCCGCTGCGAGGAAATTAAATAAAACAAATACAAGTTTTTAATTAAATATAAGCTGTAAATGGCCTTAGCTAGATGAGTCGACAGTTTTAGTATAGATTCTTGGTATTTGCAACACTGCGCTACAAAAGTGCATGTACTAAATACAAATTTATGGGATATACAAACCTCATAAGATATTTTCTAAGACTTCAGCACAGCGTTAAATTAGATTAATGAAATCTGTTATAAGACTTGTTAGCACACGACGCAATGTTATGTGTTATACAAACTTTATAAGATATTTTATAAGACTTTTTAGCACTGAGTTAAAAGGAGCATGCACTAAGACTAGCAATACATTGTTTTTCATACAATATTTATAAGATATTTTATAAGACTTTTCAGCTCTGTACTAAAAGGCAGCATGTTTACAAAACAAAGTTTAAAATATAAATTAAATAAGACTTTCCGGCACACAAAACAATGCTTAGTTTCATATAAGTTTGATCATATTATCTTTCAAGAGTTTTGCAACACTGCGTTCAAAAAGTTTATGCATACAATACAATGTTGTGACGCTTAAGATCTTAATCTTTTATAATACTTTGTGGCACCCACTTGTGTTATATCAGTTGTATAAGATCTTTTATAAGACTTGCCAACACTGCGCACAAAACAATGTAATATGTTGTGACAAGTACTTAGTTAAACGTTAACAATCGCTATAAATATCCGCAACTAGATGAGTCGACACTTTTAGTTGGGTTACACTGCGCTACAACATTCAGCTAGCTTTTGCGGCAATTTATCAAAAAGTCAGCCTAAAGCCATGTGAAGTATTAACTTTTTAGCCGCCATTCAGTGTTGACAAACACATAATTTATAAATCATTTGGCACATTATGCGTGTGCCAAGTGATAAATGAAGCAACTGACATCTCACACACACACACACACACACCATGCAGCACAGTGTCGCTTTTGTGCTGCATTTGAGAGAAGCGACAACAACTTTTTGCCGACGTCATTGTCAACTCTTTTGCTTCCAAAAAAAACCAGCCTTTTCCTAGGTTTTTTCCCCTTTCTTTTGCCGCAAATCAATTACATAAGACCTTTGATTATCCGGCATTTTGCGGACAATTATGTGCGCATTTTTTTAAGTGGGTCAACGTGTCGTATGATTAATGAGCTGCGCCTTGCACTGACAATGATTTGGCCAAATAGCTTGTCGCTTTATATATATATTTATTCTTTACTTACGTGAAGTAGACATTGCCACGCTTGTTTTGGGGCGCCTTCCAGATTAGCTTTGCACCCAACTTATCCCGATTGTCCGAATGCGTTATGGCCGAGCATTCGGGTATCGTCTTGGTATTCTCGCTCAGCTCCCATTCGCCAATCCATTCGTTCGAATTGGCGTCGCGTGCCTGCAGAAAGAAGCCACGAAATGTGGTCGCCTCATGCTGTTCCAGGGCATAAATGACCACCGATATTTGCTGGCCGGGATGATAGGTCTGCGAGCTGGCGACCACCTCGAAGGGATTCGTGTGCGCCGGCTGTGTGCGCGCCTTGCCATGATTTGGCTGATTGGCGCGCTGCTTAACACACGTATCCGCCGGCGCACCGTCCGGAAAGCCCGAAACGCCGCCCACCAGCAGCTGGAGCAGCTGCAGCAGGAGCAGGCCACAAGGTGTCCATCGATTCGCCATGACTGTTCGTTAGCTGAGCGCGCGCGCGAGTTGCGTTTATCGAAATGTTAAAACTCTTGGACTGGCCGGCGGCGTTGGCGCTTTTAAAGCCTCCAGCGGCGCGAGGCGTCCACAAAAAAGCTCGCGCCATTGGCATGGGCGTCTCGTTGGAGTTTGTTGCTGCTTGCGTTCGGTTTTATACCCATTAAACCCATTGAAAAAGTGTAAGAGAAAGGTGGATTGGTTATCTCGAATCGCATGTAACAGGCAGCAGGAGGAGCCCTTCAACCCATGAAGTAAATATATATGTATATACATATTCCTGATCGGCATCAGCAGCCGAGTCGATCTTGTCTATCCGTCTGTATGAAGGCTTCGATCACAACGATCATAAGAGCTAGAGATTTGCCATTTTGAACACTAATCTTTCCAGTGCTCGAAAGGATTCAGTTTAAAATCGATAACTTAATTCGTTTCCCACAAATCGATAAATATCGATATCGACATTTTGTAGTCTAGCCATATCTCTGAGCTTATAGGAGAAAGAGACATAAAATTTGGTAGGTAGACTCTTGAATAATATACGTAGCCTTAGAATATTTCACTTTTTTCCAGCCTATCCACCTTCCTTCCAAAACTGTAAAAAAACGTATTCTTAGAGGTACAGTCTGGGACTTTCTAATTTATACACATTTAAACAACATATATATGCTCTGAAAATGTCAAAAAGATCGGACAGGAAACACGGTAGTTAATTGGGAACACATTTCCCAAAGAAGTGGAAGTACGTAGCTGCGCTCAGGGTATCTTGTAGTCGTGCACTCCCAACTAAAGCACTTTTGTTTATTTGTTGTTCGCTTTGGCCAGGCTAACCAGTTTTTAATGATCAAAAAGCCAAATAGTTATGCGCAGTTCCTTTCCTGCAGTGCTCCAAACTGGGTCAAACATTAGCGCTTTGATGCAGCCGCTCCCCCCCATTGCTCCCCGCTCTTTGAGCCCCGCCCCCCTCCCCCTCTCCGGCTGCCCACACACAGCAGCTCGTTCCCAGGCTTCAGTGCGAACTCCAGGCCAGAGGCAGAGCTGCGTTCGGATTGGCTCGTCTGGGTCTATTTGCCATGGTTTTTGGGGCGCTAAGTGCTCCATTACGAAATTCTATGCTTCTAATCGCGGCCCACTGGCGATGTTGTTGGCCTTGTTTACATTTCAGCTCAATTTTGCGCGTTTAATGTGTTAATTGACAGGCGGCTGGCTCTTGCTCTGGCGCGGCTTTTGATTTCATTGAGCTTTTGATTTCGGCTTCAGTTTCCTTTAAAAATTCAAAACCTGTTGTCGCACTTGGCCCAAAGCGTCATCGAGCACTAATTTAATCAAATATTCAAGAACCGAAATTGCTTTAATCAGGAGTTCAACAAAGTGACAATGCCACGGAAACAACTCTTGAAGTAAATATTCAAAAATTGTTTAAAATTCATAGGTAAAATTCTCCTTGAGATTAAATCAGGATCAAAATGGGTTCTAACCAGAAAATTGGTTCAGTTTGAACAAAGTTATGATAGTCAAGGAAATGCATTTACACTCAAAAAATAAGTTACGCTAAATTTAAGAAAGTTGCCTTAAAAAAATCAAAATGTTTTTAATTTCTGAAAATATTTTTCAAATATTTATATTTTAAACTAAATTTTTCTGTAACACTTAAAAAAAATGTCTGAAATTTAGAAAACAATTTTAATTTTATGGGAATTTTGTAAAATTTTTTGAGTGTACTGATGTAAATTTAAAAAATTTAAATTCTTGTCGTTTTAGCATGATTTTTGGCATTAATTTTTTCACTTTAATTTTGACATCCAGAATCCTTTTTAAAATCAAATATTAATAATCGAAATCTAGCATGAAATTTCACAATGTATGAGGGGAGTTAGTACATGATATTTTCTTGTTTATATGTGTATATATTTTTTTTTATAACATAATAATTATTTTAGTTTAAGATCTGCCCGCTTTTGGGTGACACTTTTTATACCCTTGTAGCGGGTACATTTCCGACCCCAAAAAGTATACATATATATATTCTAGATCACGATTAATAGATTTTGCGCAAACTCCAAACTCATTAATTATTTTTATGTTGAAGAAATTACTCGGCATTGCCCGGCTCAAGTTAACATTACTGAATGTTGCTTTTGTTATTTTCGGCAACTCAAAAAAAAAAAACACATAGACGCTCTAATTGCAACCAAATGAGATATTGCATATAGATGAAATTACTCGGCGTCGCACGGCTCGAATGAATAATATTTAAAGTGCGAGTGGTAAAAAAATCAAACTCAGGCAGATACAAAGGCATTAATGCAGAAAAACTAATTAAAAATAGTTTATTTCAAAATTTAAAACTGTGCCCACTTTTCTTTAAAATATAACAAAAACAAAAACTATAATTAAAAATGTTGCAGAAAAACCAATTATGAACTAAACGTTGTACATTATGAAAATTGGTTTAGTTTCGACAAAGTTGAAGAGACTTTTCTAACTAAAAAGCTAATCTTGTTGCATAAAGTTTTGTAGTTAAAGTTGTTTGCCAGGCGAGAGAGGATTGCACATTTACGGATGCTAATTCGAGCTAAATATTCATATGTTAATGAACATTTATGGGAATGACAATTGTGCAAATATACGAAATAAAATCTGAAATAGAGTTTGGCAATTAGTTGGCAGCATTAATTAACTTTAGTGGCTTGAGTTAGTAGTCGAGTTGCTGCTGCTGCTGGATGGCAAATGTTTTGTAAATATTTAACGAAAGAATTGTTGAACTTTTTTTTGTTTGCAGCAAAAATAATGTTGGCTCATTGTCTGCCAAGGGTCAGTTAACCCGAAAGCGAGCCGGACTAATCAAATAGGTATTCGTATATTCGTGCAGCCTGCGCCCAGTAGCTCATCCATTATAGATGTGCCAAATGCGAACTTTTAACTCTCTGGCCCCTCCCAGCGGAGGTCGCACTGTACAGTGAAGCAGGACAAATGACATTTGCGCCGCATCACGCCCAAAGTTTGGCAAACACGGGCAAACCTGCGGCCGGCCAAGCCCCAACAGCTCTCGCGAACCGTCGACCCCGCACAATGCATCCCAAATTGGGTAAGAAGCACGGCAAACGGTTCCTTTAACCGTTGGCCGATGTAAATAGTACAAAACAGCGCACTTTATGAGCGCCATGAGGGAAGGGGCGAGGAGGGGAGGGGCAGTCCACTTCATCGACGTTGGCGCGGAAATGTGTGTCACCTGCAGGAGGCCAGTGCGCATGTCCTGTGAGCAGAGCGCACGCTGGTGAAACCTTTGAAATCTTTCACCAATTCCCAAAAACGCGACACGGACTCGGACACGGACTCGGACTCGGCTGGGGCCAGAACAGAACGCAGTCAGACGTTGTAGCGCGTGGTCGTGCAGCGTGCAGCGAGCAGAAGACAACAGACTTATATAAAAAATATATAAAAGACTACAAAAGTCAACAGCAACAAGAACAACAAGAAAACAGCGAGAACAACTACGTCTCGAACTAGAACAACAGCCAGGCGAGCGAGAAAATTGTGAGCAATTTTTTGAAATTTTCATACTATATATTTTACGCGCGCGAGTGTCTGTGTGTGTATGAGTCTGTGTGTGTGTGTGTTTCTGTGTGTGTGTGTGCGTGTTTGAGTGAGTGAAGTCAGCCGCAGGCAAAAAAAAAACAATAAAACAAAAAAGTGCCACACACAAAAAAAACCGCTCAAAGGCAACGTGCAAAGTTTTGTCTGTTGATTTTGAGCAACAATAAAAAAGAAAAATAAAGAAAAGCGAACAACAAAAAAAAATAGCTAAATGCAAACACAAGCGAGCAATAACAATAAAGTGTAACACAACCAGATAAACTCAACACCCGACAAATCAGTTCTTTCTAATACTATTCAAACTATATTCAGGCTTATACACTCGAAAAAAAAGAACAGCACGAATCGAAAAGCTTTGAAATTCACTTTAATTTTCTGTCTAATACAATTCATACTATATTCAGGCTTATACACTTGAAAAAAGGGGAGCACGAAATTGAAAAACTTACAAATTTACCTTACTTTTTCGAAAACATAGAAAAACAGGGCTGAAAAATACAAAATATTGTCTAAAAAGTAGACATTTTTTTCTAAAATATAAAAATATTTCTAGTTTCTTCCTTTCATTATAAAAGTAGCAGAAGAAATCAATAAAAAAAGAGTTATTTTTCCTTAAAGCAGAATATTTTTCTTCAGAAAATACTTTTAAGAATATAGAAACAGAATATTTAAAAAATTTCAGATTACTTTTTTTTAAAAAGCAGAATAGTTTTCTTCAAGAAGTAGAAAAAAATGATATTATCAGAGACCTTTTTTTTGAAAAAAAGATATTCAGTAAGCAAACAATTCTTTCTATAATATAGGAAAAAAATAAAAATATCGGAATAAATTTTTTAATAAGTAAAGAAATATATTCGAAGAAATATATTTTCCTGATATTTCACATTCTTTACTATGTTATACAAAATACCTAATATTTTCAGGATTGTTTTTAATTAATATTAAAATACTTTGAGCGAGATATATATATATAAAAAGTGTATATTTTACAACAATTCTCGATAAACTTTTCTTTAACCAAAAAAAAGTTTTTGAAGTTTCGACAAATTGCATTCAATGGCGATTTGCTTCAATTAGCGCACGTGCTTTTTCTTGAGTGTAGAGTAAACATTGAGGCATGTTGTCAAAATGCTTGCCGAAGCGTACATAAGCAGGCAGCTCGCAATAAACTGAGCCAGAATCAAATTGAAAATCAATGCCTTTTGCGAATCAAATGCGAATGTGTACATACTATATATATATACATATATATATGTTCATATATATATATGTACACGCTGCGTATACGTGATATGCACGAAGGTAGCGAGCAAAACTCAAATAATAATAAAGGGAATTCTCACGTGACGCATAAAGCCGCACACACACACACACACAAAAACAGAAAGAAAACAGATATTTGTATAAGCTTAAAGGCAACTAGCACACACACACACACACACGCACACTCGCACAGACACACACTCGCACCTGGCCGCTGATTATGATGCGCTGCATACTTTTAGGGGCCGCACAAAAATGACAAACAGCAACAGCCGCATTTTGCATACATTGACTTTAATGAACTTTGTGTCGCTGTGTGTGTGTAAGTGTGTGTGTGTGTGTGTGTGTGTATTGTAGTAGCGCGTTTTGCTTTTAATAATTTAGCGCACTCAGTAGTAAATGGCGCGTTTAAAGCATGAAACGTCAGGCGAACCCAAAAAATGCCATTTAATGCCGCCACAGTTACGCTGCCTGCGTGCGTGTGTGTGTGTGTGTGTGTGTGTTACTGTGCAATAACAACCCCAGGCTAAAAGGCACACTAACACACTTTAGCCAAGCTCCGTTACTGAGGACTACGTCATCCTAGCCAGGCAGGCAGCCTGGAGCTGCCTTTGGCAACGTCGTCACATTTGCGCATTCACAATCACATCGCGTGGCATAGGCCTGGCCTCCACACACACACACACACACACACACACACACACATACTATGTATATATATATGTATAGCCAACTCTTTGGTGTGCGGCATGTGAAGTTATACGTACTCGCCCCGAGCTTGGATCGATTTGGGATAGACATTGCGGCAGCTGCTGCAGTTGCCGAGTTGCACTTGCAACTTGCCACTTATTTTTTTGCTGGTGTTGCAAGTACAACTGCAGCCACGTCATCAATTGCAAAACGACAAATCGAATTTAGGCCCAAAAAAAAATACCTAAAACAAATACATTTGAATACGAGCTAGCGATTTGCCGGCGGCGGCGGCGCAGCTGCTTTTTGATGCTACTGCCAAATGTTGCAGTAAATTTTAACATTATCAAAGACGGGCTGACCCTTGACCTTAGCCGGCGGCAACAGCATGTGGCAGCTCACTTGATGCTATAGTCTGGCACTTTATATTTTTTGGGCAACGCTTTTCGATTTGCTGTGCAAAATGATTTGCCATCAAATCGCATGTCGCCTCCTTCGCTTCCTGCGCCTCCTGCGCTGCCAGCGCATATCCTTGTCGCAGAGTTTGCGTTTATAATTTATATTACTTGTTCGTTTCCATTGTTTCAGCTGCGCTTGGCCTTGTCTAAATGGAGCTCTGTCTCTCTGTGTGTGTGTGAGTGTGTGTGTGTATTTGAGACCTTTAAGTATGCCCAGTGGCATTTGGCGCTTTGTCGGCCCCAGGGACGGATTTTAGGCTCTTTTACGACCATTAAAATATGCATTTAAATATATATATATCCTCCTTAGGTCTGTGTAGCCTCTATTTGCCTATGTGTTGAAAATTGAAATTGTGCGGTTATTTATCTGAAAGTCTTCGCGTTGATTGCCGTTACGCCCCATTGCCTGGCACATGACTGTAATAATAATGATTGCCAGTTTATGACCCAGCCGGCGAAAATAGAAAATTGCCATCGCTCACAAAATTTAGTTTTTGCCTTTGTTCATCAATCCTTTGCCTAAGCTGCTTTTGAATTGCTTTCATTTCGCTCGGAGCTCTTAGCATTAAAGTAATGCAAAAAATGTGTTTCTCAAAGATCATTAAAAGAATATTTATCTTGGTCAAAAGAGTTATAAAATTTAAAAAGCAAACAAAAATTGGTCGAATAAATTTTGGTAAGAAAGCAAATCTCTTTGTCTTCATGATCTTGACTCGGAGATCTCAGAGATTTATTGAGATGTACTGCTAAAATTAGATATGCGTTTTTTTATTCGCATATCTTAATTAAAAATCATAAATATTTTCTGCACTTTTCTGTATAAAAGTTGCTCATATATGTACTTAAAATAAGATTGTACTTCCGAGTACATTTCCGTTCTTAATATCTAAAGAAAGACAGGTGGAGTTACTCATTTCTAGACAGAATTGCAAAAAACTCTCCATGAGTATAAAAATAAATGAAAAGATCTAAAAAGATAAAAAAGTTAACTTTAAAATATGGCTTCTCCTCCATACGAAGGACAACATTTGCAGAGGCTTTAATTCAATTATTGAATGTTAGTTCTCCTTTAAGAATTAGATTTAAATAATTATTTTCAACAATTTCTCAATTTGATTTCTAGCTGGCAGCTCTCGCCTTTTTTGCTTCTAATTTTAGGCATCAATTTTCCAGCCATTTTCCGCACGTGGTAAATTAAAATATACGTGCACTCCTCAAGTTAAACTCTCACTTTATTATTTGAAAATCAATTTGAATTAGACATCAAAAGTTGGCAACAACATTTTACGCAAATTTTTGTCACTTTGTGCTGAAAGTTTGAAGCCAAACAACAAACTTACGTTCGCACAACCTTCGAGCCGCATTTTCCATCGAAGAGGTTTCGGTATTGTTAAAATCGTCAAAGATGACTATTCAGATGACTTTTTACGAAAGTTCTTTGAAAATAAGTTTCCAGCCGATAGGACTAAACTTAGAACTTGGCCTAAAAATACTTGACTCGCATTTTCCACCCTCTTGGGTGGATTTGTCTGAAATGTATTTATTATTACAAAGATTCTTGGAAATAATCAAGAAATCTGTCACCTACATTTTTATCGAGAATTTGTTGATTTTTCAAAAAGTTTGAGTCCAATCGAATGCTAAAGAATAAAGTTACATACAACCGCGATTTTTCCACGCTTGTGCGTGGATTTCTTATGGTTTGAGGGCAAACCCTTTTATATATAGAGATCAACTGATTTATTGTGAGAAACGAAGCGCACAGAAATAAATACAAGACAATCATGTACTCTTATTATACTTGCCTGTAAACGTGGCGAGGGAGGCGTTGCCTCCATTTCCCAGATGCTGTTTGCACAACAACTGTAATTAATTAACTTGTGTTGATTCTGTAAATTGTCTCGGTTAGGTGTTATCACTGTGTACGACATTCTGTGGTATTTTAAGTGAGTGTGCGTGTGTGTGCCATGTGTGTGTGTGTGTGTGTGTGTGCCTGCCTGGGACTTTAAGTCAATCCAGCTTGACTGTTGGCCCATTTGGCTGATGACACAAAAACCACTTGAACTTTGTTGGTAACTGGCATTCGAGTTGTGCTCATTACACCCCGAACGAGCTGACTGTGTGTGTGTGTGTGTGTGTGGGAGTATGGGATTATTGCACGTGTGGAATATTAAAGCAGAGCGCGTACAAATAGTCGACACATTTTTCAGGTCAGCGCAGGGTTAATCCAACAAACTAGCTACACTATGTGCCTGCTATCTGGTATGTGTGTGTGTGTGTTGCTCACGAGGTGTTTTATGCGCAATTAAAATGACAAACGGTTGTCGCTTAGCCGCAGCCACTGTCCCGACAGTGCGTGCTGCAAAGCCAACGACAAGTGAATTGGCGTGCATAGATTGGTTCACAGACCAGGAACGTGGTCTGTGGCTGTGGAAGGGTTAGAGTGCAGTGTTGGCAATTATCGCTGCACAAAAGCAACTGAAGCCAGTGTTGAAAATAGCTAAAAGTAGCTTAGTTACTTTTAACAAA